TGACTCTGGTGCCGACATAACTAGTTTAAAGAGGCATGGCGGATGGAAGTCATCAAACGTTGCTGAAGGATATATCGAAGAATCGCTTAACAATAAGGTTGAGGTGGCAAATAAAATTTTCACAGTACAAAATATTCAACAAAATGACACTTCCACCCTGCATGTTGTCCAAAAATGTTTCTCATAGTTCTAAGAGTGTTCCTCCAATGTTCAATAATTGTACTAACTGTCAAATTACTGTAAATATAACAAATTGATCTTAAAAATGTATTTAGCAATGACTTGTTGTTTTCAAAATATAAATGAATTCCTTATAAGCAATGTGTTTTCTATCATTTATGTAGAACACTAACAACCGTACGGAAATATCATTTCCTTACAGTAAGGAAATGACATTTCCTTACAGTAAGGATGTCCTGACTTTTTCTTCAAGAAATTTTGACAGGAATGTCCAAATTTCTGGCGATTTGCGGAAAAAATCCCATACCTGATAGATTTCCTTATTTACAAAATTATCTCAGCTTACTATCTGGATATCAATGACGGCTGGATCATGAACTCTAATCACTCACCGATAATTTAACTTATGAATTATACAGTGATTAAAAGAGTTCAATCCCAATATTTACGAATAAAATAACTAGTTGGAAGAGCTTCAAAATGCTTGTTCAACCTTGAACACAATGCTATGCCAGTAAGACAAAACGAGTCAACTTGATGACGAATTAGAAGTTCTTATAAAAAATATTTGAATAGGTTAGCTTGGAAAAATACCACAAGAGTAACTTCTAAAATCAAAAAGAACCACTATTGATAAGAAATCAGAGAACTTATAGTAGAAAAATAAAAAGTTAAGAAAAAAATGGCAGCAATACAGAGCTCCACGAGACAAAACATAAATAATGCTACACAACAACTAAACCGGAAGATACAGAATACAAAATTTTAAAAATTGATTTTGTTTTAATAATTTAACAACTGACCAAAACACAGATTATTCGTAATTCCCATCAAAAGAAGAGACTAATTATTCATTCTCCTTCTATCAACTTGGAAAACGGCAACTGGACTAGAAGTAACAAACAGAAAACAGAACGATTTGCAGATTAATCACACGTTTAAATATAACGACAATGATGGCGAAGAACTAAGATGGAAAGAACTGTTCCAAACCGAAGAAAAAATAGCGTTGCCATCATTTAGAGAAGTATTAACAGAGATTAAAGAGAATATAAATCCTAAGAAATCTCCAAGATATGATCTTAAAACAGGAGAACTATTAAAAAATCTAGATTTTTTAATAGAAAAGAGAAAAGCTTTACAAATTAAAAATTCCCTAATTAGAATAAATGATACCCAAGTTCCTCATGCAATATCAGCAAAATATTTGGGCATCACCCTAGACGCGGGGCTGCGCTGATATATCAAAAAGAAAAGAGGAGAACTTTATATCAGATATAAAAAAATTTAAGTGGCTAATTGAAAAAAGTTCAACATTATCCATTCATAATGAATTATCCATTTACAAGCAAGTACTGAGGCCAGTATAGGTATATGGGTGCCATCACTGGGGCTGTACTAAAGCTAGTAATCTACATATTATCCAGTTATTTTAAAACAAAGTACTGAGGAACATTGTTGATGCTCCTTGGTATATCCGTAACAGCACTCTCCACCAGAACCTGAACTGTGACCGAAGTAATCAAGAGAACATTAGCAAGTCACGAGCAGAGGCTGCATAGTCATGTGAATGTCGAGCTTCTTGACAACACTGAACTAAAAAGAAGACTCATAAGGACAAAACCATTTCAGTTAGTGTATCACAGTTTAGTGTAAAAGCAGGGTATAGTACTGTGATGTTATTGCATGTTAGTTGTAGTGCATCAGTTGATACATAAAATAAGGAGTAAGTCATAGGGTGAGCCCTTAAATTTAAGTATTTGCTGTTTATTAAGTTGGAGCAGAAAATAACTGCTAATTGGTTATGTGTGACCAGATAACAAGCATACAAATACCGTACAGGTGTACAAGTATACAAAACAATCTATGAAAGATTTTTTTCTTCCGAAATATTTATGTCGACAACAAAATTGATGGCTAACTTTATTATTATAACAGATACTGCATCAAAGTTGATATTTGTGAAGTTGGCAGGCCCAAACAAAAATAAAAAAAGGTTATTGCAATTGGAAAGGTCATAATATTTGTATTTCTTCAAACAACCATTCTCTAAACTTTTGCCACAGTTTCCCCTTATAACTTTTCTATCCTAGTGTTAACTTCAGAACCACCCATATCTATCATACCATAATATTTTACCATTTTCTTCACTCTTCGCATCTATATCAAATTCCTGTCCATTCTTTTCTCTTTCATTATTTCTTGGTCAACTCATATATCAAATATGCACTCAATAGTTTTAAACTCAGCAATCATCAAACATTATCTAACCGTTTATCAAAATTCATAATTTTCCCCTATTACAAAAAAATCCTTATCCAACATTGCTCACCTTCTCTTGGTCAACAACGTAGTAACACACTCATACATCAAATTTTAGGTTTTTACAAACCGAATTTATTACTACTAAAATAGATTTTATCCAGGGTGCTAGATGCTGTAAGCATGAAGGACCCCTATTATCTCTAATTGTTGATTAACTCCTTTTCTCCTTTAACCATCCCCTTCTTCTTCAGTCATTTCCTCTACTTTTATTCTCATCAAGTCTCCGAGGAGCTCAGCCTCTTCAATTTTAAATTTAATCACATAGGTTATAACTTTAATTTCTTCAGCCTGTAGATTTTCAATTTACTAACAATACGAGGTCTTATATTAGCTTCAAATATTTGCTATTAAAATTTTTACCTTGTCCTAGATGTGATAAATATAAAAGGATAATTTTCATATATAAAGCTAATCTAACATAAAATACACTTTTAGACCACATTCCATACGACAAAAAGTAACATAGGTTGCCTAATACACAGGTCATCCTCTTAAACATGACTTTAACACCATCGGTGATTTCACATCGATTATATCCCAACACCTAGATTGCAGTTATTATTTTTTAAAATCATCAAAATAATTTTTGAATCTTTTGGTTGTAGTAATACTAGGTATAACTAATATAGTCCCATGTTACATTGACATTTTGTTTTTGACACCGTTCATAGGTATATTGTCAATCAGTTTCCAGCTGTTCTCCGTGTGTAGAGGTTTACTCCCCGGCTCTGGAACACACTTCAGCAATGTATGTTACTTGAAGTCATATTTAATTTAATACTGAACATCACAGTTTTTTAACAACAAGATGTATAATCTTTTACAACTATATGTAATTTAAAGGGTTTTTACCCATGTATTTTGGTGGCTCAGGCATTTTAACCTAGTAAGTATAGCCATTTTTGCTTTTTAACCATAGTCAAAATTTCATAACCATGTTTGTTTTAACTAAATGGTTTATACTTATTTTAGACAATTTTAAAATTTAAACCTGATGATGGACTGGTTAGTCCTAAAACGTTTGTTTTTTTGATGTAGCCCTTTTAAGGGTTTTTTTTTTAAATAAATATACCCACTTACGAAGACTAACCTCTTTTTTTGTGATACGTGGTATACAGCCAGCTACAGGAATTATTTTCCTTGTGGATTTTATTAAAAAAGTATACTTACCATCCGTATTAATACGTTATTTTTAGACTTCTTTCGTCCATTTTTGGACATAGGTCTCTTCCAACTCCTTCTATCGATCTCTATTCTGAGATACTTCCAATTGGTTCTGGCTATTCTTTTTATGTCGTCCACCCATCTCATTTGTGATTTTCCACTCGATCGTCTCCCTTTGTAAGGTATTTAATGTTGCATTGTGGCACTCCAGTCTTGATCTTTTTGTTTAGCAGTGTAACGTGCGAAACTTTATTTAAGTTTTTGCAATTTTTGTTGTGGTATTAACTTTTGTTTTTGATCTTACTCAGTCGTTTCTCTTTTTTACGACAGTCGTACTTACATGTCGACAGGTTTAACGTTAGATCACTAGCAACAGAAGAAAGACATCACAGAGATGGAAGCAGAAATGTCGAAAATTAAATGGGATGTGCTATCGTTACTTGAATTTGACTCAAATTCACTAGCGAAGAGCTCAGCAATTTCATTTCGGTCGCTTAAAATTTTCTTATTTTTTGCTAGAACACGTATTTTAATTGAACATTTTTTTCCAGATTTTTTTTTATATTTTGCCCCACTTTACTTGCTGGGGTAGAACTATGTATACTTAAAATAAATTTTTGCTATGATGTTCTCCTGCATTTTTCGTGAATATAACTAGGTTTTTTTTGACGTCTTTTGTATTCTACCCTAGTTTTATTAGTTTTGTGGTGCTTATACCTATTGAAAGCTCATTATATGTTTTAACGGCTTCTTTGCGTTATGGGGATTACCATGGTAAAGGTTTAAGATATTTTAGTGTTTTTTTCCAATATGATTTTTTGCTTCTTTTTTGATTATTGATATGAAGGTATCTAGGTCTTTTTTGATGTCATTTTATACCATTGAGAATAATATATTTTACATATATGTATGTTGTTTTATTTAATTTTGTATTAAATTTTGTATAATTCTCCCAGTTTTCGTTTTTAATATTCCAATTTAATGAGGTTCTAGCAATATTGTTATTTTTTTTTTGTTGTGGAAAGGTAATTTTAATGGTGTAGTGGTCAACTAAATAAAGGTATGGGATAACGTCGTATTCTAGTATTGGGGATACCGTTGGATCACACAACGATAAATAAATATTTGATTGACTCTCCGTTTGAATGCTAAACCTAGTAGGTCTACCATCGTTTAACAGATTTAGATTTTGTCAGATCATACTAAATTTCACTACCTTACCTCTAGCGTCAGTTTTTATTGAACTCCATATAGCATTGTGTAAACCAAAATTACCTACAATAATACGAGAGCTGGGAATTTGTTGCAGTAGGTAATCAAAATAAAAAAAATTGATGATGAAACTTTAATATTTACTACATTTTTGTTTAACGTTGTAATATTATTTAATAAATTTAACTAAGCTATTAGGGAATAATAAATTAACATTCTTTGACACACTTTCCAGTTGCAGTGTCTTTTAAGTAGCCTTCAACACAACGACAGTAGAACCTACAATCTTGTGTACAAATACCACGGCATGGTTGAGGCACCTTATTGGAACAAGTAGCTTCTGCTTCTGGACAACAGGGAGCACAACTTTGTACAGCATTTTCTCCGCAGTTAAGCTGTAATGGAACGGGACCGGCTAAAATTTAGGTGTGGTTAGTAATGTAAAAATATTGTTACTTTGTTTATTATTTCTTTTAGCTAGTTGAAAGAAAAGTTAGAAAAGCATTAAAAATATTGATACTAAAATAGATGCTTTTTTAATTTTTGCATTATGGATTCCGGAATAATAAAATGTGAAAGAGTTGCACTATTTCGAAAACTTGGTAAATAAAATTGTTGGCACAGAGCTACATTGAAAGGAGAACATAACTTTTGCAAAATTGTTTTAGCTAATTATTAAAGATCTATAATCGTTTCACAATTTGTCAATAGCTCACTACTAGTTTAACCCTAATTAGAGAACTGAAATACAGAGAGGATTGGTAATACGATATATTAGTAAAAAACCAACCTGAAACTGAGGGTTTAAGATGTTTTAGACTAACCCACCTTGGATTTGAAGGAATACAATACAGCAGTCAACCTTATAATCTGATTACGAGGTATTTTGTAATTGTATACGCGAAACCAATCGAAGAGCTAATGCCGTTTGTAAAAAGTATATTACCGAAAACCCCGACTAACCTGGAAAAGTTTGGAAGTCACTCACAACAGAAGAATTTGATGCATACTTAGGCATTCTTATTACAGCAGGAGTACGGCATTCAAATTCAGAGCACTCGAAAGATTTATAAAAAATAGACTCTCATCCTTTGTACTGAGCAAATATGGGCATAAATCGCTTTTGGAGCATCAGTACACTCCTACAGTATAACAATGACTAAAACGCGTGCAGAACGTTTGTAAAATGATAAAGCTACAGCTATTACAGATATATTCGATTTTCTCAATAATAATTTACGTCGTAACTATGTACTGTCGGATTGTCTTACTGTGGATGAACATTTATTTCCTCATAGAGAGGGGACACGTTTCGCGAAATACATGCCAGCAAAACTTGCCAAGTATGGCATCAAGGTTTTATGGGTTTGTGATGCCGATAATTCGTATCTACTAACTGGGCAAATTTATTTCAAAAAAAAATTCAACTGGACGTAAAACTAATCAAAATAAACGCATAGTGAAAAATTTATGTCACCAATACAAAAATTCTGGACGAGACATAACGATGGATAATTTTTTCACAACTCTTCCACTAGCCCGTCTCATATTGTCTTGGAATTTATCATTAGTTGGTACTTTAAAAAGAAACAAACCATATATTTTACAAGAAATGCTGCCTTTGCCCTGCTCTTACATGGATTCAGTGCAGATCGTGTTGCTATTTGTTTATTTGTGCCAAAAAAAGCGTTATCTTGCTGTCAACAATGCATGACAACGATAATGTAAGTGGTTCAAAAAATAAACCTGAAATAATTCAAATAATTCAGCTCTATAATAAAACTAAAGGAGACGTAGACAATATGGACAAAATAGTTTCTTATTATTCCACAAACCACAAAACTTTGCGTTGGCCAGTAGCCATATTTTACAATATCGTAGACGTAGTTTGCCTAGTAACCTATATAATTTATACAGAGAATAATCGACAGAGTTCTACTAAAACTAGTAAGCGTCAGAATTTTTCTACAAGGCTTAGGGAAACAACTAGTGATGCCTGTGATGCTCAGCTTGTTATAAGGTTTATATAGGAGAAACTTCTGGAACATTACACAACAGAATTATTTCTCACAAAAGTGATGTAAAAACAAAGTCACAAGCTTGTGCATTAGCTGACCACTTCATCATTCTAAATCACACATTTAATTTTTTACAAGCAATCACACATTTAATTTTTACACGCTTTAATTCTAGAGAGACAGAAAAATAAACAGAAGCGGTTATTATTAGAAATGACACATACAGAAAAATAAAAAATATATTAACAGAAAATCAGATATTGACAAATTAAGAAACATTTATTGTATATTATTATCAATATATATATATATATATATTATATATATATATTATATTATAATATATATATATATAGTATATATATATATATCTATATATATATATATATATAATGAGATTATGATGGTATCCCAATTAGTTTTTGATATATATATATTTATATATATATATATATATATATATATATATATATTTATATATATATATATATATTTATATATATATATATATATTTATTAGATATATTATATATATATATATTTATATATATATATATATTATATATATTTATATTATATATAATATTTTATATATATATATATATATATATATAATATATATATCAAAAACCAATTGGGATACCATCATAATCTTATTTTCTGTCGACTTCCCAACTTTAAAAAATTCATATATTAGCCAAACTGACTGGACTAATTCATTTTTTATTTTTTATCGACAATCAAATAATATAAACTATAATTATAATAAAACCTATTGTTACTAGTTTTGCCATATAACTAGTTTTGATTGATATTACATTAATCAAACCAACATGACAATTACATATATAATAACAATAGCTATTTTAACAAAAATTTAAAAAAAAATTAATATATGTCCAATGTGTTTCATAAAGTATAACAAAAACTGTAATCTCATCGACTAGTAAGTAAGTCAAATAACAATTATAACTAGATAATTTTTATATTTCTTTGTTAACAGATGTCTTGAAAAAGAATTTGAAATAAATTCGAAAGCTTGACAGTAAGTCAAAGAGTTTTCTTTGTCTTGTGTGCCAAATGAACTGTCTGCATCCTCAAGAATCACCACTTGATATATATATATAATATATATATATATATATATATATATATATATATATATACATATATATATATATATATATATATATATATATATATATATATATAGATATATATATATATATATATATATATACATATAAATATATATATATATATAATATATATATATATATATATATATATATATTATATATATACATATTATATATAAATATATCATATATATATATATATATATATATATATATATATATATATATTTATTAGGATCCAACTTGTAAATAAATACAATACATTTTGGAGACAGCTATTACCATATTCCCGTTCTCCTTCGCCAATCCTCTCGGTCCAAGGCATGCTCCTCCTCCAAACCTCTCGATCCCATCGTTCTTCTAATTACTTCATTCCATTAGCGTCGAGGTCTACCAATTTTTTTTCCAGATAGCTTCCATCTGTGGAAGTTTTCGGTTCCAACGTTCGTCAAGCATTCTCAATAGATGCCCAAACCATTTTAAACTTCTTTTTTCTATTTTGTCAATGACCGCTTCTGTAGCAATCATGTTATTTCTTATAGATTTGTTAATCTTCCTTTCCAGCCTTGATGTTTTAGCACTTCTTCTTCAAATAATCCATTTCAACTTCCAACAGTCTTCTCTTTAGGTCTGCATTATTTGTCCACACTTCAAAGCCATAACAAAAAAACTGATTCATAACATGGTTTGCCCTATTCTTTTTTTTTTCCTTTTTTAAATTTTGCGATCCCACCATAAGGAGTTCAGACACATCCTACAATTTCACGTCCCTGATTAATTCGGTGTATAATTTTGATTTCTCCCAAGCCGTTCTTATCAATGAGTGCACCTAAATATTTTAATTTTTCCACTTGTTTAATTTACACTTCCTCGTCTATCAACACTTCATAACTTGCATCTGAATTGATAACTAAATATTCTGTTTTTCTTCATGCCGACTTGTAACCCCGATTTTATATATTCTTTGTATAGACGCTTTATCCTAAATTCTCTAGATCATAAGAATCTTGAGCTAGGACGACTTGGTCATACGCAAAGTTCAAGGAATAACAGTGCATCATTTCCTATGGAGATTCCCATTCCCTGGTAGTGGTTTTTCCAATTTTGAAGGGGTGCCTCAATATACAAATAAAACAGTAAGGGTGACATATTGCATCCTTGTCATAGTCCTTTAGTTACTTTTATTGGCTCTAATAGAATATTTCCCATTTTCAGGTAAGTAATGTTATCCATGTATACTTCTGTGAACATTCCTAAAAGTTATGTACTAATGCCGAGTTGTTGTAAAGTATTGCTACGAGTCTTGGAATAGTATCATACGTCTTTTCTAGTTCGATGAAGGCTATTTTTTTCTATTAATTGTTGAAATATAAAAAGTTATCAGTGCAAGATCTACCAGACGTAAATCCACTTTGGTCTTGGAATTAGATGTTCTACATCATCTTGTAATTTTTCCATTTATTATCTTTCCAAACAATCTACCAATAGTAGGTAGGACACTTAATCCTCTGTATTCAGAGTATCAGATTATTGTGCCATCTACAGTTCTGTAGGTAACCAGACGGTTAATTGGACTGACATGGGGAATCTAAAATTGCATTTCGCCACATATTAATTCACTTAGGTAAGAACCTTTCGTGAACTGGTGTACTAAGTGATACGAACAAAAACTTACAGAAAGTCTTGGACCACCTTAATCATCTTTGTCGAGAGTTTGGAATGAAACTAAACAAGGAGAAACCAAGATAATCGTAATCAAAAATGGGCAGAATATCTTCTACTTATAGTGATATATAAAAAGAAACAAGAACAGGTAAATCATTACAATTACGTTAGCTGTAGCTTGATCCAGAACAAGAAATAAAAGAGGAAACCGCTTAAACTAGAGACGTTTCTTCAAGGTGCGTGGTCACCTATGCTATAAACATATTAATATCAAATTAGGATTAAAATTTATAAAATATTTTGTTTCGCCCGATTTTCTCTATGAAACCAAATTGTAGAATCTAAAATAAAGAGTATGAATAAGTCAGAGGTATTTGAAATATGGGCGTACCAAAGAATATGGTATAAAGGAAATTACCACATAAAGGGAGAACGTAAACGCAAAAGAAAAGAAAAAACTAAACCATATAAAAAACGAGAAGGAATTTAGATAATTCTATAAGAAAGCCCACATCAACAGATAAAATTCAAGACAACCACAAACCAATCCAGAAATCAGAATGGTGGCCTATTAACACGAAGAAAGCTGTGTTGAATAGATGGGTGGAATACTTTAATCAGGTACTTAATACAGAGAAAGAAGAATAAAACCTGTAAAACGAAACGGATGACGTACGCTAAACAGAAGAGGGAAAGAGGATTTACCAAGGATTCTTAAAGTTAAAGATTTAGTTAAAAAACTTGCCAGAAATAGGTAATATCTCAGCTAAACCATACAAAAAAGCTGACTTCGATACCCTTATGGCACTACAGCAGCTCATAAAGGAAGTATGGACCCAGAAATCCCTCCCTAGTAACTGGAATATTAGAATACTTTGCACCATATATAAAAAGGATCTATCTTTAAATGTTCTAACCAAAGAGAAATTACTTTTCTAACTGCAGTGTAAAAAAAATGGCACCATATGCACAACTAATAGTAGGAAAATATCAGCCTGGTTTCAGAGATGGTAAATCGACAATTCATTAGACTTCAACCCAGAGATTAATTAAAAAAAAAACGTTGTAATATGGCATAGGAACTCATAGCATAATTATGGACTACAAAGCAGCATAGGTTTATGCAAATAGAAGAGAAATGTTCAAAGCAATAAAATAGCTCCAGTACCAAACGAGGTAATAAATTTAACAAAACTAACTCTCGACAAAGTTGAATGTAAAGTACCAATACACGGGGAACTGTCTAAACCTTTTAAGACAAATAACACACTGCGCCAGTAAAACCCTTTTTCCTACATTACTATTCAAACTGGCTCATGAAGAAGTAATACGTATCTTACAAATCAAAACCACCGGATCGATATATGGTTATTTGTTACGTATGCTGCTATTGAAATATTGTTAAAGCATGGAAAATGATGTAGGAAAGACGCTGTAGCACTAAAAAAATCGGCTACAAAAATGGTGTTTAATAATCCACACTAACAAAACGAAGTACATGAAAATAAGCCAGCAACCACAATTCGTATGGTCAGCTGTTTATAGAAAACGACTTAATTGAAGCACTGAATAATTTGTATACTTGGGACCGCTCGTTAATACTGAAAATAAAACTACCACAGGGATAAAAATTAAGAAGGAAATTAGGCTGAATCTCCATCTCAAATCCTCAATTATATCGAGAAATACAAATGTAAAACTTTGCAAAATAAAAATATGCCCAGTCTTAACATAAAGTTAAGAGACCTTGACTCGAAAAAAAGTACTGAAAATATATTTTGGAAGAAAAGTCGGAATGTAAATCTATGCATTACTAAATGATAATGGAGTATGAAAAAGACGATATAAGTTGGAACTTTATCGAACAAACCAACAACCATATGGCGGTAATGCGCAAAACCCTGAACAAAATTTCTTGATAACATCGATAAAGACATAAAGAAATATGGAAAAAACGTGCTTGTAAAAGCAAGAAGTTGGATAGGGACGAATAGGACTAGAGGTGGCTAGGGCTTACGCATGTTTGTATAAAAATTTCTTTTAGTGTACGAAAATTAAATGAAAATGTTCTAAATAAACTAACTATAGAAAGATAACTACTGAAAACGGCTAAAACAAGAAAAAATAATTATTTGGCCATTTGCTACGTAATGAAAAGTACTTCATTCCTTAGTTAATCATTGTGGGTAAAATAGAGTGGAAACGGTGTATTGGCAGAAAAAAGATATACTGACTGTATAATATAAGAAGCTGAATAATGTTAGGCTTTGTAGAACTTATGCGTACAGGTGAGGACAGATAAATTCTTTCCACTCTAACCGCTAATCTTCATTGATGGTGATGGCACACAAAAAAGAAGAAGAAAAGTAGGTATGAAGACAGAGTAAAACTAAGTTCAACGAGAGATAAGCAAGATCTTTTGAATTATTAGCAGTAGGTAACCTATTTTTAATGGAAATAATTTAAAATAATTATATTATCTACCAAACTAATTCTAATTGGCTCTAAAAATAAATTGATTTCTTCTAAAAACATCTTAATAAAAACATCTTGTAAAGGAAACAAAATAGAACTTTTACGCTTTGTTACAGAGAACAAAACTAAAGATATTCCATACTAAAATGAAATTAAATTATCATCCGAAAACAAAATATGTGAAACTGTTACTCATATCAGTCTCTTTATTCACAATTAAAAATGATACACTACTTAGGTTCACTTATAAAGAAGAGATATAAATTACAATTCATACACGTAGATGGCAATATATTTCTCATACATTAACCAAAAATACTAATCATTACTAGACATGTTGCCCATTATAAGGCTCCTAAAAAAAGAAAGTAATGAAATGAAAGATGGTGGAAAAATTTTTGCACTTTAAAGTGTTAAAAAATAATATTTTTTTTATTAAAAAAACACTTTAAAATGCATTTTGTTTCACTGGAGCCTTCCCATGAAGATCGTGATGATGACGATGATAGTTCTAAAATTAATAAAATATAAATAAACAATATAATTTTTCACTTACCACTTTGGGCAACTTGAACTACGACAGTTGTCAAAACAAATATCAAAAGTACTTTATTCATGGTCGCAGTAAAATGGGTATAACTATTTTTAAATACAAAATAGATAATTCCAATAAAAATTAATAATAAATTTTATTAATTTGCAAGATTTATATAGTAAAATTATAGTTGATATTATTATATTCAATTTGTGATAATTAATTATCTTTAGTTTCAACATTTACATAACGTTATTGTTACATTTACAGAGCCGTTGTAAATAATATTAAAATTTTTAACTTATCAAATTCAATTTCAAAATGTCAACTGAATAGCTTCAGATGCAAAGGGTGAAACCGTTGCCAGTTACTTCAGTGGTGAGGGTACTTACTTACCGCCATATTGAATATTTAAGGGACAAAACAAAATAGTTTACTGGCGGGATGCCACCAGGTTCACAAGTTGCCATGGATAAAAAAATCAACCAAACAATCAAAACAATTATTTTCGATATTTTTTTTTTGACTGATCACAGAATCAAATTTTTTGCTAGAAAGCCAACTGACAAGCTACTCATTATTCTAGATAGTTATGCAATTCATTACAACTTTGTTGAAATTTTTGAGTTTCCGAGGATAATGAAATAATTTCTCTCAGTCTACCTAGCCACACTTTTTACAATCATTAGATCGCAGCTTTTTTAAATCTTTGATAAGCAATTGCAACGTGTTCTGTAATATATTTAGAAGAAATAATCCAAGAAGCCAACAGCAAGAAAAACATAACTGGAGCAAATCTGTATGTGAACCAAATGAAAATTGATCACGACTCCCAGTACAACTACTTAAACAATTGTAATCGATGAGTAGTGGGACAATACCCATGAGATTAAATGTCGCATCGGAAAGGCAAAAAGTGCATTTCTGACTATGAGCTTTATGTTCAAGAGCCATGACCTCAACAATGACCCTACAAATAAAAATAAGGTTCAGTGCTTCTCTACGGAGTAGAACGTGGACATTGAAGGCAGAAACTCTATCAAAACTTCAAAGTTTTGAGCTATGGTTATGCAAATGGATCCTGAAGATACCATGGACAGACAAAGTCACCAATGAAGAAGTACTGCGGAGGATAAACACAACCGCGGATTTGGTCAATATCGTAAAGGGCCGTAAGCTACAGTGCTTGAGACATATAATGAGAAATCAAGGCAAATACTAGCTACTCCAATGCATTTTCAAGGTAAAATTGAAGAAAAAAGGGCCCCAGGATGAAGAAGAATATTCTGGCTTCCTAACCTGACAGTATGGTATAGAAAGACCCCAACACAGCTATTCCGTATAGCAAAAAATAAAGTCATCATAGACAGAGCGATCTCCAACGTTGGGAACGGACAAGCACCCAAAGAAGAAGAATCCAACAGGACAAATTACAAGGCTCTAGTTAGGAACGCTACAGGGAGAAGTATGTTCAAAGTGAGCTGCAGTTCAAAACGCTAACAATGGATTTTGTTACTTGATATATCGGCAATTCCTAACTACTGTTACCTAACAACCAACACAAAAAAAAACTGAAGAAATTCTTAAGATAATATACAAAGAGTACTAAGGTCTACTAAGAAAACTAAGTGAGATGAAGATGAATGTGTAGGTCACCTCGAAAGATATAACACAACTACGTGAGAATAACTGAGTTCAGTATCAAAAGTATTTAAAACGGCCACTTGAAAACTGTACCAAATACGGAGATCTGTGTTATTTTTTTGGACAAAGGAACTTAAACTCTAAGAAACTGTAATATAACTATATACTCGTACTTTCATTAAACCTTCGTTTAATGTAGTAATATAATAATATTACTACTAATAGTAGTCACATTACGAACTAAATTAAAACTGGTTAAAGAACCCACACAAAGTAGAATTGATATTAAGAGATTAAGGGAACCATAAACAAAGGAACAAACTGTAAAAACTCTTACTGAAAATCTACGTAATGCCCAAGAACTGAATAAAAGTAGCTAACATTGATCAGAAATGGGAAAATATAAAAGTAGCAATAATTAAAACAGCAAATGAAAACTTAAAACCAAAAAATAGAAAACATAAAGATTGGATGACTGAAGAAATACTACTATTAATGAATAAAAGAAAATCATTCAAAACAAAAAATCCAATTAAATATAATGAAACTGATCGATTAATAAAAAAGAGAATAACAGAAGCTAAGGAGAGAATGTTACATGAGCAGTGCCAAGAACTAGAAGAAATTGAGAAAAAATATGACTTTTTTAACATGCATAAAAGAATTAGAGAATTAACAGGAATGAGAAAAACACTTCAAACTAGGCAACTAAGAGATGAAAGGGGTGCACTTATAACAGATATAAACCAAAAAATGCAGAGATGGACACAATATATAGCACAACTTTTTGAAGACAAAGAGAGAACAGAAGCACCAAAAGAATTTAAGGATGATACTGGGCCTGACATTATACGAGAAGAAATTGAATATGCAATGAAACAAGCTAAAGGTGGTAAATCTCCGGGCCTGATAAAGTTCCTATCGAATTACTTAAAATTGTGAATACTGAATCTATTGATCTTCTTTTGGATCTATTCAATACCATATATAGAACAGGTATAATACCTAAAGAATGGCTCCAATCAACATTCATACTGCTTCCCAAAAAAGCCAATGCAAAGGAGTGCAATGAACATCGCACCATAGCCTTAATGAGTCATGTCTTGAAATTGTTTTTAAAAGTAATTCACAATAGAATACATAAGAAATTAGATGAAGGCATAAGTAATACACAAATGGGATTTAGGAAAGGACTGGGACACGAGATGCACTGTTTGCAGTAAGTGTTCTTTCGCAGAGATGCTTAGATATTAATCAGGAAGTATATGCCTGTTTCATTGATTTTTAGAAGGCATTTGACGAGTGCAGCATAATCGACTTAAAGAAATTTTATTAAATAAAAACATAGACAGTAGAGACATTAGAATCATCTGTAACCACTATTGGAATCAAACAGCAAAAGTGAAAGTTAAAAACCAACTGACCAAGCATATCCAGATTTCCCGTGGGGTCCGCCAAGGGTATATTATATCACCCTTGTTATTCAATTTATACAGTGAAGCCATCTCAGAATTAGCGCTTGCCGAGATCAGTGAGGGCCTTATAATAAACGGTGAGCCACTTAATAACATAAGATATGCTGACGACACCGTCCTTCTGGCAGGAACACTAGAAGAACTGCAACACCTTGCTGAACAACTAAATATATATTGCAACGATTATGGACTAAAAATCAATTTGAAGAAAACCAAGTTCATGGTATTTACAAAAGCACAAAACATCAAAGTTAAGCTAGTAATAGATAATACAGAAATTGAACAAATATCTTCGTACAAATACCTTGGAGCATGGATCACAGAAGATACTGATCAGACAAAAGAAATAAGATGCCGCATTGAAATTGCGCGGTCAACTTTTAATAGAATGAGAAAACTTTTTTGTAATCGCGATATCAATATATCGCTCCGGATAAGAATGCTTTCGATGTTATATTTTCTCTACCCTTTTGTATGGAGTTGAAGCTTGGACACTTAAAAAATCCAACAATAAAAACCTAGAAGCACTGGAAATGTGGTGTTACCGACGTATTTTGAAAATATCATGGATGGATCGCAAAACAAATGAACAAGTTCTCGAACAACTAGGAAAACAATGCGAAGTTTTAAATTCCATAAAAATCAGGAAATTGGAATACTTGGGGCACATCATGAGAGGTGAAAAGTACGAGCTACTAAGGAATATAATGCAGGGTAAAATCAAAGGTAGAAGAATCGACGTAAAATCTCGTGGCTACGCAATCTCCGTGAATGGTTTGGATGTAGTTCAATTGAACTATTCAGGCGAGTAACCAATAAAATTATAATTGCCAGAATGATTTCCAATCTCCGATAGGAGCGGAACTTGAAGAAGAGGAAGATGCTCTGCTACATTTTCGCTTGGTGATGCGAAAGTATTTGAACAATCAGTTTCCTCATACATGGATAGGGCGAGGAAGTGTTAAAAAACGGGCTGAAAGTGTTAAACAATGGGCTGAAATTTTTTTTAGAATTATTTGTAATAAAACACTTTGTATCTCAGTAAGGAGGAATATTTTATTTAAGTGTTTTAGGTTAAATCTTCATATGTTGTGTTAAGGTTTCTCCTGTTACTATATAAACAATTCTTAATGAAACACCCTGTATATAATGTACACTATAAACATTAAAAATACATTAGCTATTGATGATTTGTCGAAGTTTCGGGAGGTTCACAGGTACACCCGTTGTAGATTGTGTTAAGTACCAACCTGGCATAACACTTTCCTTTTGTCAGCTCTCACCACGACTGTCAGAGATTTTTGGCATTTTTAGATTCAAAAAGAACAGTTCGATCTCTTTAAAGAATATGATCGCTTCAGATTAAAGTAGTATCACTCCTTAACTGCAAGAAATTAATTTAATCATATTTTACATGTTTTTTCAATCGATTATCTGGTTGAACAACGCTATTTTTATATTATAATGGCACACAAGTTGACTTAAATCACTTAATGTGCGTTTTCTTAATGTTACAGGTCCAAAGAATTCAGAATAAATTATTGAAATAAAGTTTTATTATTTTATTTTTGGCTAAATAATTGTTAACAACTCCACAAGATTTCATAAAAAAATGAATGCATTCCCAAGTCTTATTTGGTCTCTGAGATGATCTATTCGTTCTTTCCTTGATTTTGTACAGCCTAAAACAAAAATAAGTATAAATTTAAATGAATAATAAACTTTGAATTAAAAATAAACAAACCATAAAACCTATTTCTTATTTTAAAGGTTAATGTCAAAAATAGCTTGATAGAATTCTTCTTCTTGTAATTTTAAACAGATCTCAATCCTATTAGTAGTACAACAACTTATTTTAAATAAATTCTTACTGGACAATGGCCGGCGCCAGATTAAAAAAACTTATCTTTAATTTTTTTCTTTTCCTTTCTTTGGTGGTCTTTTGTATGAAAAAGTATTGGTTCGTGTAGAACTTACAACGCAATTTTGCGGCTTTTCTAGAGTTTTCTTGATAGTTTTCCGAAAATTTAATAGTTGTAGCAGTGAGAAGCTGAGCAATTATCACCTATCGTGTGGATTTGTTTTCTAAAACTAAAAGAAACTCGATTTTATAAACTGATTTCGTATTAGAAACACTTTAAGGCCACATTTGAACAAAGGTAGGTTTTCTTTTGGAAAAAATAAATAACTACTTACGTTTTAAACATAATAACATTTTTTAGGCCTTTTTATTTTACTCTGTGATTTAATCTCAAACCATATTGATCATCTTTTCAACTTATATTTATAATCTCGTGACTCCTTAAGGGATTGGCTATCAGTTTTCCATATTAGTTAGGATCGGATGATATCCAATTGTCCATAAGAGAGAAAGAACCTAAAACATCGGATTAATAAAGGAAATAAATAATAAATATTAAGTACTCACCTGGGATCGAGTCTCCAGAACTCAAGAAGATAGACTTTCTAACAGCTAAGTGGAAATTTATTCTTAATTTTGGTAGAATCGAACATTACACTAAATTTCTCAATTTTCTTAGTACGACACTGTAATTAGAACCCCACTGCAGTGGTTATAATAAGAACTTGTTAATTAACCTTTTCACTTTATTGTTCAACTATTGATTTAAATTGATTTTGAAAAAGAAATCTTTAATAAAGACAAAAGTAACAATCGAAGAATATATTGATTTATTGATAATCATTCTTTTACCCACTTCCCTGAGGGCTCTCCGAAAGAGCGTTTACAATCCTATATCATTAACTTACGCTTTTAATAGAGAATCTCGTGTGGAGTCACTACATACAAAAACAATCTATTATGATCTTGTAATAACAGCGCTGTATCAACTCTGGGCGACTAATTTTTTAACTTGACTACAAACCAACCAAAGTTGATTGGCCGCATATATTCAGCTATGGAGATATTTTTCAAAATTGCAAAAAGATTGATACTATAGTCACATCGAGTCTGGTACTTCTTCTGTCTTTATAATTTAATATAACTCTTTTAAAACTTGTCAGTTTTATTGTCGTTGAATGGTTTTTGCTTCTTCAGAATTGTTTTGGCTACCATAGGCCAACAACATTCTCGAATTGCTTTAACTTTATCTAGATCTTCTGTGATATCATAATCGTGCAACGGCTCTTGTTGCACACATTTTATTCAAAAACTAACCTTCTTGGTTATCTTTACGAGCATAAAGATAACCCCGTCTTGTATGATTTTGTATGATTTCCCCGTCTCCTGACTAAAATTTCGATGCCTCTACATTCTACTTATTGTCAACCAGAAATCCTGTTAATCATTATTGAGGTACCTTTTTAAAACTATTGCAATCATTGTGTTACTAAAGTATGCAAAACTGCTTTACATTCAGATATGTCTTTCAAAGTCTTTAAATAGTTATTTCTGAAAACAGAATAACTAATGTACTCTGATTGTGCACAAGTCCTTTTATACCAGAATGTACCTTGAGTCAAATTTCCTTTGTGATGAGCTTTCTGTCGCATTTTTCTTAATTTCAATGAACTATGCCATTTTTTTAAAAGCTCTGGACGAAATTAGTAGCAGAGTAACAGAATAGAAAATAGCGTTTCGTAAATCATTATTTTGGTTTGTAAATCATTAAAATAAGAAAAAAATTAAAGTACTACTATTTTACTGACTTAAACTATATAATTTTTTATTTAAAACTAACATTGTTAATAACACATTTTCTAACAATTTTTTACACATTTTCCGGATATAGTGTCTCTTATATATCCATCAACACAGACGCATTTAAAATTACAAATAGGCAAACATCCAAGTTCAGGACATGGGCGTGGTTTTTTATTTTGGCATGTTATTTCTTGCTCGGGACAACAGGGCTCACAACCTGCTTCTTCATTTTGACCACATTCTCTTGGCAACTCTAAAAATTTAATAAAAATATACGTGTGAAACTTGGATATTAACTTAAAAATCTATAAACTGCATGGACATCTTGGAAAGAAAGGTACTGAGACGAATACTAGGCCCTATAAATAAAAAGAACAGGTGGTGAATCAGATACAATTATGAAATAAATAATATGTAAACTACCCATCAAATCTTCACTGATGCTTCCAAATGTGATGAAGGACATGCTGCAGCCTACATCTACGAAAACGTCAAGTCTACCATACGAATCCCAACAAATTGTTGTATATATACCGGAAGAACTTACGGCAATTCACCAGGCTATGAAAAAATGTGGTTCTATCAATGAAAGCAAATTTGTTATCATCACCGATTCAATGAGCGCATTACTTGGAATAAAACACTATATACAACTCACGCCATACTTCTCAAGATCAAAGAAGAGTTATCTTATCTACAGACTCAACAAAAAGATATTTCCTTCATCTGGGTACCTTCCACATGGGAATAAGTGGTAATGAGGAAGTGGACTCTCTGGCAAGCAATGCAACCACCGACCAAAGTATTGCTATCATAAATCAAATGCCTTGGACTGATCACAAAGTTAATATCAAAGCCCACATGTACAGAGCGTGGCAAACTACTTGGGATCATACTGCCAACAAACTTAAAGAATGTCTAAGTCAAGTAGGAACCAAACTCATCTTACCAAATAATAGAAAAGACCAAGTCATTATCAACCGACTCCGAATAGGACATACTTTCCTTACCCACAAGCATATCTTCAACCAGGAGCCTGCTCCGATGTGTACCAAGTGCAACACTCAGTTGTCAGTGAAACATATAATTGTTGAGTGTCCAGTGTACCAGAACGAAAGAATCGTGTGTGCCCTTAGTGACAATTTAAAAAGTGTACTAACGTCAAATTTACAGTCTTTATTAAGTTTTCTTAAAATGACTAAACTATATACGAGATTGTGAAAAATATTTTTTTTTATGTAACAATATGTATCTTACTGTTTGTGTATGTCCCCCTGCTAATAACCCTTAGTGGTTGATGCGGGTATATTTGTTTAAATAAAAAAAAATAATATGTAAAGAACCAACTTTATCTCAGTATATCCGCTAACAGCGTCTTCAATGGGAACGCCTTATATTAGGCATGAGAGAAAAACTTTAAAAACTTTCTGAAAGAATGCAGAAGACAATACCTATTGGGAGACCAAGAATGTGGATGAGATAGGAGGATAATGTGGATGAAGACGCAAGAAATCTCCTTGGAATTGGATCGTGGTGAAGAATGGCTATACTCCGTAACGAATGGAGAGGTTTTCTGATGGAAACCAGGGCTCAAATTGGGCTGTAGAGCTATACGATGGATGAACATTTTGAGATTGTACCATTACAACGAAGTCGAGTACCTGCGAGTTCCAACTTCGTATATTTGAATACTTTCTTTGTTTGCTTTCTTTTGCGCGCTTCTGCGTCGACGGGAAAGATTTCTAAAGCCATTCCTAGATTTGATAAGTAATTGAGACATATTCTATAAAAATGGTTATTCTAAGGTTCTACAAAAACAGGATGTAATCAAAGTAATTATAGATGAACAAATTACAAAGTTTGTCATAAAAGTTTTTTTTAATGTACTCATAAACGTATACTTTGTAATATTAATTAAGTTTTAATTAAGTAGAAATATGACAATGAAAAAAACCTCAAACAAAGTGAACGTGGTCATCCCCGAACGGAAAAATTTGGAAACAAAATGGATTACATACTGTGTAACAAAACAGATATCATATAGGACGTAACAGTAATAAATACGACGTAAGTAAGTAGCGATCACCGAATAGTTAGAGCCAGATTAGAGATAAAACATAATAAAAGTTTAGATAAACTTGGAATATCGACACAGATAAACTAAAATCTAATACAGAACCATATAAAAGCAAGTTAAAACCCGCGAAAGTATTAAATGTAGATGAAGTTAGCTTAAATGAAATCAATAAAGTCATAACAAAAGAACTATTAAATGCAAGCTCAGAAGTGGCAATCGCTAACAGTAAACGAAAATCCAACATAAGTGTAGAATCACAAAACATGCCGAAACAAAAAAAAAAGATCTTTCGAGACCAAACAAAAGAAATACTGCAGAATTTAAGGAACTTAATCAAGTAATAAGAAAACAGATATCAAGAAGACCGTATAGAACAAGTCATAGAGAAAAACCGAAGTCTCAAATGCACCAAACCGAAACTAGGAAAGAATAACAATTAAAAATGAACAAGGAAAACTAAAAAAAAAGTAAATATGATGTAGCAAACGCAATTGAAAAGTTCTACGCCGATCTGTATCGTTCCAGAAATGATCCCCTAACCCTCAAAGCAGAACTTGAAAAGGCAGATAACAACATCTCAACTCAGAAGTGATGTCCGAAATGAGCTACAAAGAAATAGAGAGGAAAATAAAAGAAATAAAAAGGAATAAATTTCCTGGAGGCGATGGAATTCCAGCAAAAATGCTACGGAGAAGAAGCCATTATATATATCTAAAAATACTTTTTAATAAATGTCTATTTGAAGGCAACATACCAAACAATGAAATACTGCTAAAACAATACTAATACACAAAAAGGAGACACCATAGACCTGAAAAATTTATCGACCAATTTCACTTCTTTCATAACTTTACAAAACATTTACAAAGATTATTACAAACAGGTTAACAATTAAATTTGACGGATACCAACCAGTAGAACAAGCCGGATTTAGAAAAGGGTACAGCATCTGTGACCATCTATATATTTGAAAATCATAATAGAAAAGACTAACGAATACCATCTCTTATTATGTCTGGCTTTTATACATTATGAACAAGCTTTTGATAGTGCAGCACTATGGGCAATAGAAAACGCATTAGTCAACAATTGGATCGACTCCAGGTACAGAATATATATATAATATATATATATATATATATATATATATATATACATAATGTTTACGAACAAGCTGAAATGAAGTGACTGAGTGAAGTGTTGGGTAATGGAATCGAAACAAGACCAGTAAAAATCAACCATCGTAAGACAACGAGACATAATATCTCCAAAATTATTTACAGCTGCATTAGAAGATATCTTTACGTTAATATAATGGGAAAATAAGAGAATCCCTATTAACGGAAGATACTTGAAGCATCTTAGATACGCAGATGATGTAGTACTAATAGGCGACACGTGGAATGCACTGAATAAGCAAAGATATTCTCAAGTTAAAGTTGATTTCATGACAATGTAATCGAATGAACTATCTTATAAGTAAAGTCGTCCCAGGAGCGCAACTCAACAATATTGGCAATATCATTTTAAAGTCGTCTACTTTAAAATGCATAATGTATGTCTGAATTGTCAATATAAATGAGTCAGATAAAGTTAAATTATTAGAAGAATTTTTGACTATGTAACTCAATGTATGGGCAATGGAATAACAATGTTATTACATTGCCCATATCTATTGGATCTGTAAGCTGGTCATCTATTCTAACTTTCCATATTGTTGGTCTGGTAAATGTTCTCTATTGTTTTTATAACATCTAGTGGAATTTCTCTATCGTAAAGAAGGTGAATTACATCTTTAAGCTTTACTTTATCGAACGCTTTCTTCAGGTCTATTAGACATATAAATGCTGGTCTGTTTATACTCTAGTGCTTTCTCGGTAATCGGAGAACGATTTCCGAAGTGGAAATTAAAATGTCAATAAACGTATTTTTATCTTTAATTGTGGCTTATTCCCAGTTAAATAGTAATTAATTTCTGTATCCTACTGTACTTACATATGGAGCTCAAACCTGAACATTCACTAAAATAAACATGGAGAGGATTAGAAAAAACTCAGAGGTTTAATAAACGAGAGATGCTGGGTATCTCACTCAAAGACCATAAAAATAATGAAGACATTCGTAATAGAACGAAACTAATAGATGTTGTCGAACAACCAGTTAAACTAAAATGGAAATAAGCTGGACATAACAAACATCTTTTGTTAGTAAGCCAATTGAAATTGGCGACCATATGAAGCCAAAAGACCACGACAAAGACCGCAAATGCGCTGGAGCGACGATATTAAAATAAATGCAGGACCAATATGGAAACATCTCACAAACAATAGAGATGAACGGCGAGAATTTGGAGAGGCCTATATTCGGCAATCCGAATAAAGAGAAGGGATTATAAAAGATACCAATGAATTAATTTAACTTACCTTCCTGAAAAGAATTTTTCCTGAAACATTTACGAGTGCGGACATGAACGCTCCGGTCAAATGTAAAGTGCGATGTGGTACACGATAGTAAAAAAATTAATAAAACCCTGGCCCACAGTATCAACAAGTTGGAGAGACCAGGTAATATTAACGCGATTCTGGATAGGTCATACGTGATTAACTAATAGCCATATGTTTTCCAACAAACAAGACCTAAAATGTGCGAGAATTTGGAGAGGCCTATATTCGGCAATCCGAATAGAGAGAAGGGATTATAAAAGATAAAAATGAATTAATTAAACTTACCTTCCTGAAATGAATTTTGAGCCAAAACCACAATCAACACACAAATCAAAAATAACTTCATGTTAAACATAATCTTCTTATACAGGTTAGTAAATATGCTTAGTAACTTATTATTTAATATATAGCGTATGCAAGGAAAATAAAATATTTAAGTGTTTATCTGGTTTCACAAAATATAATTTTGCAACAACCAACAAAACAAAAATATTATGATAAGAATGAACTTCGTATTTTTTAATTATTTATTAGGTTATCTTATTCATGGTGAGTTAGTTAAAAGTAATACGGTATAAAGTCTTAAGTTCTGCAGGAGAAAGAACAATGGGGCTTATATCCATATGGGACCGAAATAGCTAAAGTTGTCAACACAATATTGGATTATCATCTTGTTAAGTGTTATTGAAATAGATTAAAGTCCAAAATCAATGTTTCATTGATTGGAAATTTCATTATTTCAACAATGTTGTGAACTCGTATCGATAGTTAGAAACACTATGTCACTCTCCATATTCGTCAAAATGTCATCAAACACACTTCATACTTGTCAATACAATTGTGAGAATGTGGTTTTTGTACAGTACGTATTATAAATATTTTTGAATTTGTCTAAGAAATACAAAAGTAGGGTTATGTCTATAAAATCAATTCCTCCTGTTCTTTTTATTCTTTTTTTACGAAGACATGACTCTGTTTATGTTTCAATGTAACTCCAGTGAGTTGTCGGTCCATCGTTTTCGAGGTCTTTCTACTGATCGTCTTCCTATTAAAAAAGATGTTATTATTGATTTAATGATTATTTTGTAAATTCTGCCTTTTATTTTTTTCTCGATATTTTTATTTCCCCGTATTGTTTCATTCAGCAACCTGCGGCTCGATCTTTCATTTGTGTTTTGAGCTTTCCGTAGATAATGCGATGCCTGGATATTTAAACTCTATAACTCTAACACGTGCTGAATATAAGACAGATAATCGAGAAATCTAGGGAATTCAACATCCCACTATACATCTGTTTTTATAGATTACCGTATAAGCGTTCGACCAGGGTCAAGTGGAGACACTTATGGCGAATACTAAAAAAAGTAGGCGTACCACAACATCTAATTCCGTTTATAACTGAACTATATGAACACACTACTGGATCAGTTAAAGTACTTGACACACTTTCGAACGAGTTTCATCCAGAACGGGGTGTCAGACAAGGATGTATACTATCTCCACAATTATTCAACATATATGAAGAGTATATTATGCGAAGAGCACTTGAAGGATGGGAAAAGGGCATCTCCAATAAATGGTCATAAACTAAACAACCTTTTCGCAGATGACACAGCCCTTCTTGCAAATAGTCAAGCAGAGCTGATGGAACTTATACGACTGATCGAAAACGAAAGTCAAATATTTGGTCTGCAATTAAACATATCAAAGACAAAGATCATGATAGTGGATAGACTACACCACAATCATCCACACATAACCACAATTGACCGGTTCGAGGTTGTGAGCTCATACTTATATCTGGGATCATTAATCACAAACACAGGGTCATTACAAGAAGAGATTAAACGTAGATGTGATCTAGCAGAAGTTGCCTCAGCAAAAATGACCAAAATATGGAAGGAATCTCAAATTTCAAGAGCGATAAAGATGGGGTTGATCAACTGCTTAATATTCCCAATACTGACCTACGGATGTGAATCTTGGACTCTGAGACAATCGGAGAGAAAAAAAGATAGACGCCACTGAAATGTTCTGTTGGAGACGAATGTTATGAATTCCTTGGACCGACCGTAGAACAAATATTTCAATTTTAAGAGAGCTAAAAGTTAGCCAACGACTCTCTAGTAAAGTCCATCTTCAACAATTAAAATATTTTGGGCATGTTATGAGAGCAAACACAGAAAACATGGAAAGACTCATAATACAAGGAAAGGTAGAAGGCCGAAGATCACAAGGAAGATACTCAACAACATGGATAGATCAAATTACAGGAATATGCCAAAGACCTATGCATGAATTACAAGAAATGACCAGAGACAGAGATCTCTGGAGACGGACAATACACGACATCACGTCTATCACTACACTCCCCCTGGGGGGTCAGGATTGAAGAGAGAGATTCCTAAAGTTATCTTTCTTGCGTACAATAAGTAGATAACTGCCTTTAATTTGACCTGGTAAAATGTCTTCTTAAGGTCCACAAAACATAGTAAGGCCGGTTTTTTGTATTCTAATGATTTCTCTTGCACTTGTCTCATTATAAATATAACATCGATGCATGATCATTCCGACCTAAAATCTTGTTGTTTTTTTGTTAGTGTTATAATTTCATTTAGTTTATTTGTTAATCACTTTGGTTGTTAATTTTAGTAGTGTGTTTAATAAATTAATTCCTTTGTAATTTTCCAAGTACGATTTGTCTTCCTTTTTACAGAGAGGTATTCTTCTTTTTCTTTTTATATGGACATGACTCTATCTGCTTTTTAATGTTCCTTTAGTAAGTTATCGTTCCATCGTTCATGGTTTTCCTACTGATCGTCTTCTTATTAGGGAAATGTCACTTGTCGTCTTTACTACTCTATTTGTTGTAATTCGACTTATATGATCGTTCCATTCTACTCCTCTATTTATTACCCAGTTTTTAATGTTCTCCACGTTGCGTCTACGTCGTGTATCTGTACTTCTAGCTCTGTTCCATACTTTCTTACACAATATCTTTATTATTAATAAACGTATAGCGACATACGAGATAATGCTATTATAGCTGAGATACTATGGATAAAAATAGATTAACTGTAAGACAAATTTTGATTTATTAAATTAAAAAGAAGGCCTCTGGTTAAGTACAAAATAAACAACTGATCGAATTCTAACATGCGACATATCAAACAGATTTTATTTTTGTAAGTAGAAGTAACTAATATGTACTATACGTCTCACGTCGTTTGATTTATTTAGTCATATGCTAGTATTAGACTAGTTGTTTATTTTGTAATCGTCTTCATGTTAAGAAAGCAAATTTACCTAATGTTTACTTTATGCTTTATATATAAAGCAAAGCTGTTTATTATCATCAATAGTGTCATGTGATATATCGCTATACATTCATTTATAACGAAGATGATGTGTAGTGCCCTTTTGGTAATCTCTCTAATTTATCTGAATATATTTCTTATATTTTCCACTATTATTTAATATGTCGCATATTAGGATTTAATCATTTATTTATTTTGCACTTAGCATAAGCCGTTCTTTAAGTCAATAAATCAAAATTTGTGTTATCGTAAATCTATTTTTATCCATAGTGCCCTATGATATCTCGTGTGTGGCTATACCTTCATTAATAATAATTGATAAAGATACTGTGTAGTACTCTTTCAGTGAAAGCCTTGGTGGTTTTTTTCTATTTGAATATATTCATTATATCCTCCCCTTTCTTTTACTATATAGCATGTTCGAATTCGATCAGTTGTTTATTTTGTACTTAGACAGAGGTTTTTGAAAGCAATAAATCAAAATTTGTCTTATAGTGAATCTATTTGTAAAAATGGTGCCCTATGATATCTCGTATGTGGCTATACGTTTAATAATAATGAAAATAGTGCCATTTTGGTAATTGTCCTGCTTGTTTTTCTTTCCTCATATATTCGCTAAATCCTTCCCTTTCGTTTAAGGCATCACACGCTCCAATCGTACTAGTAGTAAAGGATATATGATGTAATGCTCTGGTGGTAATGTTGCGATGTGTGTTTTTTTCTGACCCAACATATTCGCTATTCCTCTCCTTTAAAATGATGTATGATACATCACAATCCGACGAACTATTCTACGCCACCACAAAACGCTCAAAAAATGAGCAGAATGAACCTAAGCATTTTTTATGAGATTTTACAGAGCAATGAAGCAGAGGAATTGAAGATAAATATATATAAACATACATACATTTAGGTGTAATAAGATATAAAGAGCCAGCAATTTAAATAATATATTATATCAAACCAAGTACGCCAACCAATATTTTATTTATAATTGAAATTAGATTGCAAAAGGTAAATGAATTTTAGCAAAACCACAACTGTTTTGAAAACTAAATATTACGTGATGAATTGTGGATATCTATACCACCATGGACGTATATAAATCTTTATTTATACGTCCATGTATACCACTCAAACCAAATCGCCCGTTAGACTAGGCAGGATCTGTAAAAATTCAGATCATAATGGATATTTTCCATAGAAAGCTATTTTTTGCTAGAATCCCTTCAATATCGATAATCACGATATGCGCCAGTCGCAAACCCTGTGCTAAATTTTTTATTTAACAAAATCTGAAAACAATTGAAAATTTCTCATTTTTTGCTCCTATTTTCCTTTATAATTCGGAAAATATTGATCCTATACTACGTTCCACGTTTAGAAAATAACATTGCGGAGATAGGGCCATGTATTTCTTATGGACGATAGCAACGCGGCGTTGCCACGACACACACAAGCACAATTTAGGGTTGTATAATTTGTATTTTTGTTTCCACAAACATGAATTAAATTAATCTTTTTTAACGTAATTGACCAAAAGTGCCCATTCGAAACAAGAGATGAAAAGTAGGGAAAATGATTTTAATTAGATAAATAGTATTTACAAAAGATAATTTTATTTTATCTTATTTTAATTATAGTAACGACAGTTTATTTGTTTTTCGGTGAGAATACGATATGCCATGAATCATAGAAATCAGTAGAAAATATTGACCGCTTGGAATGCGTATATCTAATTACTAATTGCAACTTAAAATAATACGATGTGCGTATGTCAGCTATTTTATGTCGTTCTCTGACTACATAATGATAATAAGGCTTTTATTTAGTAGTTATTCTGACTTTACAGTTAAATGTTAATTGAAAATGAAAATTTAAAAATTAAGCAAAGGGAATATCTTGGACATCCGTGCAAAAGAGAGTGTCTGAGAGTTTTGGCAACACTGATCTCCATAAGCGTAATGTTATTTTCTTAACGTGAAACAAAGAATAGAGAAAAAATTATAAAAAGTTAAAAGTTCCCTTATTCAATTTTACACAATATGTCGTTAGCTAGAAATTGAAATTTTAATGTTTATTGTTGAAAAAACAGCCATAATTGGAAAAAAAAGTACAAAAAAACTAAGTTATTCCTTT